TATCCTTCAGCGTTGTACGTGAATTCTCTTCCACTAACGCTCTCAATTGTTCGTTGCCAACGGCCGATGGCCGCCCACTGCGCTCATCATCTTCCAGGCTCTCATCACCGGTACGAAATTTTTCAAACCACCACTGTGCTGTGCGTTGATTCATCGTACCTAGATCTAAGTCATCGTTGATATCCCGGTCAGTTTCCGTCGCACTCCTGCCCAATTTGGATTGGAAAAGAAAAATCATGCGAATCTGCCGTTTGTCCATGCTGATTTCGACCTTCTAAAACACCCCAGGAATCATTCCAGGGCAAAACCGATTATATATTTGGATAGAGCAAGAAATGCGCTCCAGAATGGTATAAAACTTGCAAAAAATCTAATAGCAGATAACATGGCGGCGAGCATTTGAAAATTGGGCGTCAAAAACCGCAAGAACTTTCTTCACGACCTAATACCTCCACAACTACTGGAAATTCCATAGGTTTTTTTTGTATAACTTACTTGATCCGGATACCACTGGTTGAGAAAACAGGTGGGATGATGTACAGTACTATTCTGCTCCATCATATGACCGACAGGTCGTTCTTTGAGCATGAACATATTGATCAGACCAATCAATAGAGACGGAGCACAATGTGATCCTAAAATTGATTTCTTCAGCAGTAGGGATATTAAGAGCGCTTTCTTACATCAGCTGGCACAACTGCTGTCCGTAATTTTGAATAGGTATCAATTTTACTCATATGTTAAATAATCCGTTCTATGGATCGGTAAAAGTCCTGGTTCAAAAAGTAAAAGCAACACAGTTTTAGCATGTGCATAAACTTTACTCACCAGGATATTCCATTCCTAAAACGATGCCTTTTTCAACAGAAAAGAATACCCATTTAGCCACCATCTGTACACAAAGATAGAGGAAAATACAACTCATGAAGACCATCTGAGGTATGAAATTTGTCAGAATATCCACTTTAGACTTGAAAAATCTATAAAAATCATCGTCACTTTTCTGAAAAAAGAAAAGAAAAATAGTTCAATGGCGCAGGTGGCAGGAGTAACCTGCTCGGCTTGCGAGATCAAATATACTCTTGTCATCTAAATCACTCAACTAACAAGAAATCAAAGAATTTCTTTTCCTTTTGGAATGGTGAAGAACTAGAAGAGGGCGTGTTAGAGACAAGGGAAGAAAAGAGGAGAAAACGAACGGATAAAAGCACGTAACTAACAATACAAGCACAGTTTTCAAAAACCTGTGTAAACCATTTGTCCAGGGATTCGGCGCACCCATAAAAACTGCATGAATTTCCTGCGCGTAAAAGAAAGGAGCCGTATAAAAAATTCTGGAACTTACATGTGGTTAAGGAGCGACAAGAATAAACCGAAGGTCATTTGAAGCACACCAATGATCACCGACATTTTCATTTTCATCGAATTCAGAAATGATAGTCTATTCACAGCAATATTCCAGACGGGATCAACACCAAATGGATAGGGGCCACGCTAGAACAACAAATGGTCATAGAAAACGAAGTTTCAGCTTAAAACAATGAAAATTTCAACCTCTTTCAAATATGCTGTCGCCGGATCCAGCGTCACCGTCGACAGCCTCCGATCTTGAGCATCCAAGTTAGGTTGAAGCCAAGAATTAATTTCGCTCTGACTAAATTTCTTCTCATACAACTGAGAATTTTAGATAAACGCAATCAACTCACTTATACGGACTAGCCCAGGAGCTGCCAAAGACATTGAAGGACTTCGCAAACGCATCATTGTAAAGTATACCGGTGTATATAGAGAAGAGGCCCATAAGGACTATAATATAGCGACCACCAAAAAATGTATTGAAAATCTAAATGTTCGTAGAAGTTGTGTTGATCACTGAACCAGACAAGAACTTATAGAATACGGTCGCCACCGCCTTTTGATTTAGTATGGGGTGCGAAGACAGCCTAATTTGAATTGATCAGCCGCGTGACTCGCGTAGCCTCAATCTTCAAGACTAATGGATCGGCTTCATAATCCCATTCGTTGTTTGAAGTTGGGGAGTAGTCACCAATAAGGAGTGAGTAATGATCGGGGATATCCCACCCGCCAATTCAAGGTGTTCAGGGAAATCAAAGTTGTAAAACCACCAAAGCATCAATTATCAGTTCCTTATCCAGCTCGGACGGAATACATATGCGTCCGAACACATCATCTATCTCTTCCAATGGGCTAAATACTACCGTCACCCTGATGCTACCGAAATCCCTGTAGAAAGTGGAGTGTTCACCAAGGAAGTGAGATTAAGCTCAAAAGTTAATTAAATTGGTAGGTACACAAATAAAAAGACATGTATGAGAGAAAATGAATAAAAATAGCGTTGCGAAAAACAATTGAGGCCAAATGAGCAACATTACCGGAACCATAGGTAGCCCTTACCTCATCACGTATCCTTCGTTCGGTGATTTTCTTTTCGTTTAAAATAAAAAATAATCCTAAAAATGAGCATTATCCGATGCTTCGAGGCTGGCTTAAGAAAATTGTAAACATGTAACCAATAAGAACTTACCGGCCAAAAATAGAATCAATCCATGAGCGGCATCACCAAACATCACAGCAAATAAGAAGGGAAAAGTAATTATAGTGTAGGGTGCTGGAAACAAGCAATTGATTCAGAAAAAAAAACTTTGATAAAAAAATTTGAAAAAATCAAAAGAAGGTGAAGAACTAGAGGAAGAACCTTTGGAACTAACCAGGGTTGACTTCTCTGTAACTTGCGACACCATATGAATCCACAATCGACTGGAACACCGAGGTGAACTTGTTGGTGCGATGGTACGTGGGTGGTGGTCCCTGAGGGACAATTTCGTTCAGAATGGGGGCCACATCACATCCACTGGCTTTCTAAAACAAAAATATGGCCAGAATCTTCGATAATTCAACCGAATTAAGGCAAAATTCAGTAGGAACTAACCAGCCCATCGCACAACGCCTCATGAACTGTGTCCATTTCCTTTTCGGGAATCCAACATTCAGCAGCCAGGAAGCCGTTAGTGTCTACCTACGTATGAGAAACATGCTATATCATAATGTTCATTGTCAAGAAATGGTTCAACGTTTATAAATGTGCTAACCGTGAACAAATTCAACGTGTTGTAGATGGCTTTTTGTAGATGCACCTTTTTCAACCATATCGGTAAATCCTTCGCAACATTTTCCAAGATCTGCAAAAAACTAAGGCAATTATGTTTTGTGACACTTTCTGAAAACAGGCGGGAGAGAAACTAGATTTGATCTTAAGAACAGGCGTGTGGGACCAGGGCCAGTGGCGAGTGGCCCTGCTCCCACACATCTGTTCTGAAGATCAAATCTTACCCGGGCGAACATTCCACCCCTTCAGTAAATTATTGATAAATCAGTGATCTTTCAGGAAGGTGTCAACAAAAGCTCATGTTTCGACTACTCGTTGTAAGTAATTTAATGGCTGCTTTCATAGTCCGCCGGCCGGCGGACTATGAAAGCAGCCAATGGGCCAAATTAGAAATGCAACAAAGATTAAAATAGAAGTTTGATGTGTATGAGAATTACACATACCAGCAGGGATTTAGAATCTAAAGTTTACGTTCTCATAAGAATGTAGCAGAAGAGCCCCTGAGATGCTAAGGTATATCCAAGAGGAACGGGGTATAATAATCTTACAAAAGTTTTGAAAAGTAGTATTTCGGGAAACATCAAAGAAAAGCCTACCGTAAAACGATGATTTTTAGTGCTATCAATGACTGTCTTAAGATCTTGTATCCGGGCTATCGTTTCAAAAAGCGCTTGCTGTCGTTCCTTTGATGTCTTCGGACAAGGATATTGCCTTGCATTAAAGCTAAATTGATGTGAAACATTTTTCGCCTCAATCAGGTTAAAAAGAAATCGACTTCTCTTACCCATCGCACACTTTATCAATAATCAACTTCAGGCTTTCTCCTTTGAAAAATACGATAAATACACATTTCATAATAGGTGCAAGCTGAAAAATAGACCTGCATAAATCATTCACATACGAGTTCAAAAATTACTTCGGATCAGAAAAAAAATCAAAACAGTACTGTTTAAAAAAATGAAAATTATCGGTCCCTGCACTAATTTGACAGTGCACCATCAAAGTCCTCGCCGGCTGCGACACCAAACCGAAAATGCCGCGCGCATCATCAGCAGCAAAAACCCAGCCTCGCACACGAATATCAGTTCCATTTGCAAAATCAGCATTAAATATGGAAGATTACGGTACACCACTCAATTTGTGCGTACCACGGCAGGAACTTCATCACAGGCATATCCTCCGGAGCGGTAGCATCGCCCATCTTCGTTCAATCAGTCTCACCATGCAGATCCTCTCCTTTACCCCACCCCACGAATTGTCCCTCTCGCCAACGCCCTCCTCGTTTCTCTCCCTTCTACGGACATCCCCGAACACACCTAACTCTTTCCCGTTAACGCGAAGGAATGCGCCACTAGTTGCGGTAAATACATGGCCATATCACACATCTCAATCACAGCCTAACCAGAACACCTCTCTCCAACTTCTTCTTTTGAATTTAAATTATTATTTTTTAATGTCCACTTTTTTTGTTAAAAATTATTGAGCATCTTCAAATACAAAGACTTACAGTAACCGGATCCTCCAAGGTAAGTGTCACATCACTTATCCGCACAAAGGCCGTTCGCCTACAAGCTCTCCAAAGCACTCTTTCGAACGTATTCCTTTTGTCCAGAGGTATAACACCGGCAACAAACCTGAAATCGTCTACTGAAAACTCCATCCAATAAATTACCCGTCCCTTCAGTGTCTTCTATCACAGCCTCCGAGAATGATATAAATTTGTTTTTTAGCGCTTATGCAGCAGAAAAGTAGAGAAATGGGGTTCCATCTTCGTTGACGATTAGTACTTCCTTCTCGACATCGGTAGTTCTTTTGACTCTTCAGGTACACTTCTCAGAATTACGGCGAGTCTTCTTGAGACGTGAAATTAAGTCGGGCCACCTCATAAACATGCTTTCGACAATATGGGTCTTAAAAATGGCGACTTTTGCCGAAACCCAACAACGTTTATATTTAGCTTGAGGCTGAGACAGAAAAGACTCAAGTGTGGTATAACCACGCTGGAATTGATGAAGAAATTGCTTGCGTAGTAAACCGATGAGCGATCTCCTGTTTATGTAGGAAAAGTTTTCGGAAGAAGGTTTTTGCTTACCATGCATTTTCACCTTTTTCATCGTTGAGCAACGGCGTAAGCGGTACATCATTTTGACCAGAGATATGTCCACCAGGGCTGATCGACTTATTCAACGAATCCTGCTGCAATAATCAGGAACAATTGCTTCTACGTACCGGGTGGCTTATGGATTGGTTTTTAGCTCAAATGACAATTTTCTGGGACCAAGACAAGTCGGAAGCTACTTTGATACTCGTAGCTTGTGCGTGATAGTGGCGCCATTTAGCCCTAATTCCGAAAAATCAAAAGGTCTTACCTCAGCGCCAGGAGCCTCGATGTTGATCATTGCT